CATTGAAACCAGGTCAAGTGGGTATTATCTGCTGAGTTTGAACTGCTGACCTTGCTGTTCAAACCGACCTTGCAGTCCAGTGCTTATCCTATAGTGCCACACCAGAGCTACATATAGATATATCCTACTTTATTTATCCACTCATCAGTTGTAAATATTTGGATTTCATCTACTTCTTAGCTATTATGAATAATGCTGCTTTGAACATTCATGTTCATGTTTTTATGTGGACATATGTTTTCCTGGTGTTGGTGAAGAATATTGAAAGTACTATAGACTATCAGAAAAACAAACAAATCTATCTTGGAAGAAGTACAGTCAGGATGCACTTTAGAAGTAAGGATGACAAGACTTGGTCTCACACACTTTAAACTTGTTGTCAGGAGGGACCAATTCCTGGAAAAGTACATTGTGAGTGGTAAAGTTGAGGGGTCAATGAAAAAGAGGAAGATCCACAACAAGATGGATTAATACAGTGACTGCAACAGTGGGCTCAAACATAACAACTGTGAGGCTGATGCAGAACTGGGCAGTGTTTCATTTTGTTTTACACTGAGTAAGAGCAACCCAGTGGCGCCTAACAACATAACAGTGTTTTTGTTTCTCTTGAACACTTCAGTGCGGAATTGCTAAGTCAGACATGATAGCCTATTGTAGCACTTTGGGATCTGGACTGCTAACTGCAAGGTTGGCAGTTCAAACCCCCAGCAGCTCCTCAGAAACCCCTATATAGTGTCACTATGAGTCAGAAACAACTCAGTGGCACAACAACATATCATTTAATATTTAGAGATATTGTCAGATACTTTCCAAAGCAACTGTGACGCTGTAGGTAAGGACTGGACTGCTAACCATAAAGTCACTAGTTCAAACCCACTAGCTGCTTCTCAAGCAAAAAATGAGACTGGCTTCTGCCATAAAGATTTACAACCTACACATCGATATACCAGCAGTGTATGAGGGTTCCAGTTTTATCCCATGTCTTTCCCTCTTAATCCATATGATTGACAGTGATGACAACCACTTACAACTTTCTGCGTCTCAACTGGGACACTAAGAAGTACGTGTCCTCACTCTTTTAATAGAAATAAATTAGTAGGCAGACAACATTTCCACAACGAAATATAAAAACTATTGAACATATTTCATTTGTGTTCCCTCTCTCAATCTTAAGTTAGCTCTTGAGAATGGAATCTACCACATTCTTTTAATGACAGCCTACCAAGTACATCTTTTTCCCAGATGAGGGAGCAAATGCCATGTGGCAAATAACAATAGTCTCATTCTGTCCAACTGTGGCATGTATGTGTAATGAAGGCCCCGCTCACACAGATTTGTATCAATTTTTATTAATTGGAATATTTTAAAAGCAAATCCCAGACATCATGTCATTTTACCCATTAGTACTTTAGCATGCATCTTTAACAGATAACTATACTTTTTTGCATGTAACTGCCATGTCATTATCTCATATTAACAGTAATCCTTTATTATCCTCTAGTGTCCAACCCACATTCAGAACTCACCAATTATCTTTTCATAACCATTTGTTTGAATCTGGATCCAGATAAAGTGTAATCATTTGTTTTTGTTTTTCATTTAATTTTCTTTTATTCTGGCTCATTTCTTTTTAATAGATCATATCTAAGTAAAGTAATCACAAAACTATACAAGGCAATATTTAGTAAAGCATTAACTTTAATATGATCAAATGTGAGGCATCTAATAGATGTTTCATTGGTGTTGCGCTGTAGGATAAGCACTGGACTGTGAGGATGGCAGTTCAGACTCACCAGCTGCTACTTGAAAGCCCTATACAGGCTTGCTATGAGTCTCGAATTCTCAACAGTACGTAACCACAACAACATTGATGAGTATACCATACAGGGGTGTAGTGTAGTGAATTATCTAACGTCCCTTCTAACCATATCTATAACTCCCACCAAACATTGTTTCTGCTCTCCTGGGTCTGGGGAAGAGAAGGTGGGAGAAGATACTGATAGGGTGACATGATTCAACTGTGGATGTCAGCAGAGCTCATTGCAGTTGTAAAAACTTGAAATTCTAATGTGGGTTTAACATCTTGAAAGCAGGAGGGCTGATCTCACTGCCATCAAAGAAAAAGAGCCAGGAGTGGAGCATGTCCGTTGGACCCTGAGAACCGTACACACTAAATCTTTTCATTTGAGGGACAAAAAAATCAGAGAAGTGGCAGAGGAGGAGTTGCAGCAGCAGCAGAACCAACCAATGTCAGATCACAGGACAGAGCAGCGGAATACCCAGCCCACAGAGCAAGTAAAGCTGAGTGACTTTGGGCAGGAAGCTTCCTTGTAGAGTGGGGTGTCACTTAAGTGGGGGAGCTACCATGTAGCTAGAGCCGAGTGCCTTCAGGCCAAGGTATATGGTGGAGTCAGCAGCTCACAAGGGGTTAGGAAGCTAGATCAACTAGAGTTGAAGCTCCAGCTTGTGCAAGTTAGTAGTTGTTTAAAATTATACACAGGCATACTTTTAAACAGGCAAATAATTTGGCAAGATCAATAACCAGTAAAGAAATAGCATTTCCCCATTATCACCACTGCTTGATTTCCTATCTTAAGAGACATCCATTTTCAATTATTTTAGCAAACTTGTTTGGCATCTATCACTAATTCTCTAGATAATTTGTTTATATTGCTACTTCATGATTTTTTTCTGTTGATAATTATAGGCATGCATACCTTAACGTGCACAATATGTTCTCTATAAAATAGGATGGTATGTGATTTGGATGTTATGCAAACACCATATCATACTCCGATCCTGCTTTTTCTTCAAGTATCTTGAATAAGCTTCATGTCTCAGCAGTGATTGTGTACTGAAAGGTATTTGCTTTTGTGTTTGGTCCTCAATCCATGTCTTGGGCAATTATTGCAGATATGATATAGGCCCTTCCCGCATTTTAATTAGCCTTGTAGCTTGCATTCAGGAACCCTGGTTGTACAGTGGGTTAAGCATTAGGGTATGAACTGAAAGGTTGGTAGTTTGAACCCATCAGTTAACTGCTCAGCAGGAGAAAGATGAAGCAGTCTGCTTCTGTAAAGATTTACAATCTTGGAAATGCTGTGAAACACTTCTACTCTGTCCTGTAGGTTCAGTCTAAGTCAGAATACATTTGATGGCAGTGATTTTTTTTGGTTTTTAGCTAGAAGTAGAGCTGATCCTTTATCAACTTAGAGCATTTTTTCCCTGCTTTTGAGGATCATAATTCGTTAGGATAAACGTAGTAGACTGCCTTTGCGTAGTTACTTCGCACAGGTTAACATCTATCTGGTATTTATGCTTTCAGCCAAGATCCGTCTGATCTCAGTAGTGCTATCTGTTGTTCCACATCCTCTTCTATATCCGACTTACATTTCTGGCAGCTCCCTGTTGCTGTACTACTGCAACTATTTTGAATTATCATCAGCAAAATTTTACTTGCATGTGATATTATTCGATAATTTCCACATTCTGTTGGATCATTTTTCTTTGGAATGGGTATGAATATGGACCTCTTCCAGTCATTTGGCCAGGTGGCGGCCATCCAAATTCCTTGGCATAGACTAGTGAGCCCTCCAGTGCTGCATCAGTTTGTTTAAACATTTCAATTGGTATTCTAATTACTAGAGCCTTGGACTGCCTGTTGATCATATGTTCTTGATCATCTGCTACCTCTTTACATAATTGAATGTCAACCAATTATTTATAGTACGGTGACTCTTTGTATTCCTCCTTTCTTATGTTAATGCTCCCTGAAACCGTCAATATTTTACACATAGAATCATTCAATATTTCAAGTTGACAGTTAGATTTTTTTTCTTCAGTCCTTTCAGCTTGAGAAATGCCAAGCCTATTCTTCCTTTCAAATGATGCATTGCATTGGGTAAATCTACTGTAAAAGATCTCTTTAAATTATTAAAAAGCAAAGATGTCACTTTAAGGACTACAGTGTGTCTGACCCAAACCATGGTATTTTCAGCTGCCTCATGTGCTTGTGAAATCGGGACAGTGAATGTTGTTGTTGTGGTTGTTAAGTGCTGTCAAGTCCATTCCAACTCACAGTGACCGTGTTTGTATAGGGTTTCAAGGCTGCAAATCTTTACAGGAGCAGAAAGCTTCATCTTTCTCTCACCCCAATGGCCGGTGGGCTTGAACCACTGACCTTGTGATTAGCAGTCCAGTACTTATCCTATAGAGCCACCATGGACAAAAATAACGGCAATGAATAAAGAAATACGGTGTTGATGAACAATATTTAATATACCATAGGCTGCCAGAGAACAAACAAATCTGGGTTGGAAGTACAGCCAAAATGCTCCTTATAATAAGGATAGGAAGACTTCATCTCATATAATTTGGGCATATGGAAAACAACATCATGCTCGATAAAGTAGAGTTGGGGAAGACCTTCAATGAGATGGATTGACACAGTGGCTGAAACAGTGGGCTCGAGCATAGCAGTGATAGTGAGGATGGTGCAGAACCAGGCAGTGTTCTTCTCTGTTGTACTCAGTGTAATTATGAGTCGGAGCTGACTTGGCCCCTAATAGCAACAGCATGAGTTGGAATCGAGTTGCGAATAGTGGTTTTAGTTTTTGGCTTAAGATTATGAAGTACTTACAGATCACAGTGGTTTAATTCACAACCAATCATGAAATAGCACAAGACTGGGCATCATTTCATTCCATGTGCATCCAGATAGTAGACATGAGTGGGAGCCAAACTGTATGGCAGCTAGCAGCAACAAGAAGATTAAGTAACTTGTACAGAGTCACACATTTAGAATGTTGGCTGCCTGGCTAAGAGCTCGTTCTCTTGTCTGTCATGCCATGTGCTACTGTCAGTCACTGTTGGTCTCTGTCCTTGACCTCTTCTGGACTGTTGAGTTTTAACCCATCCTGATCTCTCCATTTCTTAGTCCCTTTCTGACGTCATTTCCATTCCTCCTCACCTAGGTTGGATCCTTTCAGTAGCAGCCTCAGTTTCTTTACACTCTTGACCTGGAATTGTCCCACAAATACCCATCTCTGGCAGAAGCTGCCCATCTTTTTCTTAGATTCTGCTTTTTTGAGAGGAAATAGCCTAGCACACTGATCTGCCAATTTCACACAACTCTCATCAGTGCTTGGCAATACTGCTTTTCACTTTACATTCATCAATGTCCTTTCCTATTTCTAGGGCAACAGTAATATGAGGGGGCTTCAAAAAGTTGATGGTAATGGAAGTTTTTCATGAACTCCTCCTGTAATGTTCACATGCTCCTGAGTTCTGTCTCACTCTGGTTCCGTACATGCGTAGTTCTGTTTTTATTCCAGCTACTTTTGTTGTACACACAGGTGTTTGTAAGTAATACCACCCTTCTTGCCTCCCCCCACCCTGTTAAAAGGCAGAGACGTAGTAGAATCCCAGCTAGTCCCAGACTTGCTGGTCTCCGTGTGGGCACCGATGCCCCAGGGACTGTCCTTCCCCTGATCCTCAGCCAAGTGCCTTTTGTCTTCTGGTATGACATAGCAGTTTCTTCCTCAATTTCGTTGTGACTCACTTTTAAAAAATATTCTTTGATGTGTCAAAGCCTTTTTGAAAGTCTAAGCAGATTGTATTGAGTGGTTCCATTTGGTCACATGCATTTTTACTTTCTGAAAGAAGAAACTTTGATTTATTAATTAGGTATGATTTTACCTTCCTGAAACCACACACCCCTCTCTTTGCATGCTTCAGTGCCTGTCCTTAGCAACTCCCACCCTACTACAAGCCTCTCCTACAAGATTATCACTCAAATACCATCTTCACAATGTCTTCCCAGTTCTCCCAGCCAAAAAAGAAAAAATTACATCTGAACTCCTATAGCAACATCTTTAGAGGCTTATAATATACTCAATTGCATCTCTGTCTGTCTTCAGTAGTTCATAAACTCCTAGTTGTCAGGAACCATGTCTGATTTTTATAAAATTCTTTTCAACATAATAAGAACTGTATATTTTGTTGTTAGGTGCCAGTCAGGTCAGCTCTGATTCACAGTGACCTATGCATAGCAGAATGAAACCCACTGCCCAGTCCTGCACCATCCTTACAATTGTTATTACGCTTGAGCACACTGCTATTGCTACTGTGCCAACCCATCTCGTTAGGGGTCTTCCTCTTTATGCTGACCCTCCACTTTACCAAGCATAATATCCTTCTCCAGGAACTCTATATGTGTGTTGTTGTTGTTGCATACCATCAAGTTGGTTCCAAGTGCATGGGGTTTCCAAGAAGCAGCTGATGGCTTTGAACTGCTGACCCTGTGATTCAAATCTGCGTTATGGTCTAGTGCTTTATCCTACAGCACCATACCAGGGATCCTAGTCTTATGTATATATTTGTTAAATTATAACCCATGGAAGAAATCTAAGGAGAAATTTGTTGAGAAAAGTCTATTTCATAGACAGTCTTCTTAGAGTCATGCACAACCGAGTCCTTGCAATTTGATCATCGTATAGAAATTGTTCCCATTATAGTCACATTTCAGCTACCAGCTTCTTTTACCTTTTGCCACATTTTACTCTTGTAATCCGTTTTTACCTTCCTTGGAGCCCTCTGTTCTGTTCCTCCTATTTAACTGAGTATTTTACTGATATCTCTTCCATGTCTCCACATCTCTATAAATTTATTATTGTCTTTTATTGTCTGTCCTCAGGCCTCTCCCTCCCAAGTATATTTTTAGGAATTTCATTTACTCAGGTTTTGCTTGCTTGTTTGTTTCTAATTAAGGTTGATAGGGATGAAATTAGTTTAGGGATTAGATCACTTTAGGATCCAACAATGGAAAAATGAGAATAAGACACTGGTGGCTTTGTGGCTGTTAAATCATCAGTTCTCTTCTTGGGCTCTTCCATAAAGCTAGAGTGAAGAACACAGCTTTGACCAAGATCTGAGTGGAGCCTTCTGAGTCAGACCTGTTGGGGGGCAAGTTGTACCTCCAGAGCAGATTCAGCTTGGTGTCAGGTCTGCCTCTTCCACTCAGTTATCAGCAGAGAGATGCCATGGTATTAAAGCTTGAGGACTGGAATGCAGAATAGGCAAGCCTACTCAGACTGTAGATAGCTCCAAACACAGGCCAAGCCTCATGGGAGCTAAGGAAAAGCCATACACCTAGGCCTTCTCGGAAAACAAGGATCCATGGAAATAGCTGTCTGCTATAGACACTGGAACGTGGAGAAAGTTCTGTATCTAAGGCAGCTCTCTAAGTTGTCTGTCTTGCGGCACCCTCAACATCATTCTGATGCTCTACCACTCACATGGACAGCAGGGCCCTGCATCAAGCTAAGCTTATAGCTTCCCACTTCTTGTTCTTCTTTGTTTGCCTGCTTTGTCGCCTCCCAACTGCCCCAGCATCTCTCTGCTTTCTAGTCCATCTCTCTAACAGGTGGAACCTGTCTGCCTCCTAGATGGATGATTAGTCTGTGGATTGCATTCCTTTGGGTCAGGAGCCCACCCATGGTACCGTCATCAGTGACCAGCGGACAGGGACATGTGGTTTCAATTAAGAGACCAGTCTAGATCAAGCAAAACTCCACATCTGTTTATTTGTTGAAGTCCAAAATTTGAGTATGGTTTTCCTCTTTTGTTATTTTTCACTAATGTCTAGTGAGTCACTTAGTCCTCTACCTTTGACCTTTACACCATTTTTTTTTTGTTTCTCATCTTTTTTTCTCCATTCTTAACTGCCTCTGCTGTGGTTTAGCCCACCCTCCCTTCTCATCTGGAATGATGTGCTATCCTCCTTATTGATCTCCCTACTTTCATTCTCTCTCTCCCCTAATGTGTCTTTTATTCTGTTGCCAAAATAATCTATTTAGTTTTCATATAGCAGCCAAAGTCTATATTTAGAAATATAAATCAGATCATGTTACACCCCTGGTGTTAAGTAGGGCTTCTCATTGCTCTGGAGGTACAATCCCTACATCTTACCTATAAGGTCCCCTACAAATCTGGCGTCAGTTTTCCTCTCTGTCTTCATTTTTCCACCTTCCGGTACTTTCTGTGCACCTTACCCAGCATCACTGGCCTTCTCTCTGTTCCTTAATTGTGGCAGGGTTGCTCCGCTTCGACTGTCTTGGACTTTCTTATTGTAGACTTTCCTTAGCTGGCTTATTTTTTCAGGTTTTAGCCTGTCACCTCCTACAAGAAACCTCCCTAACTACCCTCTCTATGAGTCGGAAGTGACTCGATGGCACTTAACAACAAAAAGAACAAGTTATAACCTTGGTCACGATTGCATGGTTCAGTAGTCTTCATACCACTAACCATTGGAACTTTGTTCATGTATTTGTTTACCTGTTTGTTTGCTTTTTTAAATCTTTCTGACTAAAATGTAAGTTCCTTGAAAATAGGAACATTTTCATTCTTTTCACCATTGTATCCTAAGCCTAGTATAAAATGTGGTTGTTATTAAATGCTGTTGAGTCACTTCCAACTTGGAGCAGCAATGTATAGGATTTCCAAGGAGTGGCTGATGGGTTGGAGCCTCCTGCCTTATGATTAGAAGTCAAGTGCTTATCCTATAGCACCATACCTGGTGTATAGAGTAGTTACTCATTTAAAAATTTGTTAAAGGAATGAACAGTAATCTTTCTCATTACTCTTATTTTAATTCCTGTTTATTTTGCTTAGCTTTATATATGTCTTTATTTTACCTGCTAGACTGTAAACTACTTGAGGGAACAATTATTTTTTAAATCCCTTCTATACCTAGGGCTTACAACATAGTGTGGGGAGCATAAGCTATATGTTGAATATGTGCTATGACAGATAGTACCCCCAAAAGTAGCTTATTTACTCCATAATTTGAGTTCTGGTAAGTTCTCCAGTGGCTGAAAAGACTGAGCCCAATTATTGACATATTCTCTGTATAGTCCTTTTATTGTATTCTTTAGAAACCAGACACAGGAAACATCTGACCATAATAAAAGATTTCCAGTAAATTCTAGGTTTCCTCATTGAAGAAAGTCACGTGCAGCAAGGCTCTGTTGTATTTGGTCTGGAATTTTGTTTGGTCACTTGTATAGCACACCACATGGCTCCCTCTGGTCCAAAAGCCTGGAAAAGCTGGAACCTGGGCTGCTTGAAATAAAAATGACATATTTGTTAGCCTGAGAGGGAGAAGTTTGTGCATGCTTGCTCTGTAGCTTGCACAACAAACTTCTCAGTTTGTTGGATACTGAGTTTTCCCTTTAGCTGTTGAAGTTTTACTACTCAGATTCATTAAAACGTACACAAAATGTGAATGTGTCACTAATTGCCTCATGAAATGTCTCCTCTCTCACTTCTTCAGTGTAAAGACTCCTGCTCTTAGTAGCATTCCATGTTCAAAGATGTTTCAGAGACACCTGTTAGGTGGCTGCCCCCTGCATACCCTTACCACACTTTATTTTTGTTTCAAATGTCTGCTGTCTTTTTTTGGTAGCAAGGCAGAGATGCTGTCTTATTTGTTTCCATATCTATAATGTATGTTACAGAGCCTGCCACATAATGTTGTTGCTGTTGTTAAGTGCTACCGAGTCAGTTTTGACTCGTAGTGACCCTATATAGGGTTTCTGAGGAGTGGCTGGTGTGTTTGAACCATGGACCTTGTGATCAGCAGTCTAGTGTTATCCTACAGTGCCACACCAAAACTCTTGGTACATGATAGGCACTTGATACTATTTGTGGGAGGGAAGGGAGAAGAAAAGGTAAAAAGAAAATCCCAGTCCATTTAGGAATTGCTGAAGAGCGTGTCTGTATATACAAGAAGTAAGAGACGCTTTCAAGAGCATTGCATTTTCTGCCTTGGTACTATTGATTTAGAGGTTAAAGTCCTAGAGCTGGATTAGAGAGTTCTTTTTTTAACATCTTCCCCTTGATGATACAAGTAATACATGTTCACAGTAGAAATTTTGCAAAAATATGGAGAATAAAAATTACTTTTAATTCTACCACCCAGAGACAACCACTATTGACATTTAGAGTATAGTCTTACTTCTTTGCATT